AGTTAAGTAGTCAACCAGTAATAGAAAGGTTGACAGTTTAAACTCACCTAGAAGTGTCTCAGAAGAAAGTCCTGGAGCTTTGTTTCCACAAGGTAATAGCTGTGAGCTCCCATGGAGTACAGTTCTACTCTGGCACTCAAGGGGTTGCTCCAAGTCAACATTGAGTAAAAAGTTGAACTAAGAATGAACTTCATAGATCTTCTAACACAAGGACCTCATTTTTAAAATGGAGGAAATTAGGGTCCGGAGAAGTTGAGCAACTTGCTCAAGGTGGCACAGTTAGGGGAAGAGGTGCACAGAAACCCTTTTCTATGACATTTTCCCTGCCTTAGTACATGTGTCCCTACAGATTAGGCAAAGAAGTGTTTGTTTACCTCTGCTGTGTCCCCTCAGTGGAGTTCAGGATGCTTAGGAAGTACCAGGATTTCACTCTTTCTTCTAAAGACGACTGAAATAATAGAGCATGGAGCCTGCAAGCTCTGGCATTTGAGCCAGGCAAGCTGGCCTTAAACATCCATCAACCCCTTATCCCACGTGTGTTCTTGGGCAAATGACTTAATCTGAGCTTTCATTTTCAGTTTTCAAATGAAAATGACTGTAGCACCTACTTCTTAAGATTGAGATGAGGAATGAACAAGTTAAGTCTTACGAAAGCCCTTCATGTTACGGATTTTATTTATTATGGCTACTATCATCAATAATAAGCTTATCTGTCCCTTAGATAGATAATAGGATTAGCAAATAGTCTGTAGAATTTCTGTAACATTCCTATTCTCACTTCAGCAGTCAGCTGTGAAATGGAATACAAAAAAAAAAATTAGAAAACTGAACAAGCACTCATGTTGTTTGCAGTTAAATATACACAACATATAGTTCAGAGATTCACTGTCTGACTATATTAACCATTTATGGCTAGGATTTGGGGAGACTTTGAGGTTGCAGAGATAAATTGTGAGGTTAAAAAAGTAGAAAGATGGGATAAATAATATATACTGCATTGAAACAGATGAGGGAGACAACTGTTTAAAAGGGATATATGATTAGATATTGTAATGACAGGATTTCAGAATGAAGGTAGCATAGTGGAGTGGACGTGGGGGGCAGGGATTGAATAACAAAGAATTTCTTCTTTTGCTTTACAAAAAGAAAAGCTAATTGGGGGGAGGGGTGGGCAGGGAGAAAAGTGCAACAATGAATGAATGGAAATCCAAAGTCTCTGTGAACTTTCATTAAAATCAATTTAAAATTTTAAAAAATGCAGTATGTCTAAGGAGTTAATCTAAATTTTAAATAATAAAGTACAAAGACAATTTAGTCTATTAAAAGACAATAATTAACCATTTGTTGGTGGGTCTGACTGAGAGTAACCCCTAGAGGAAGTCAGAGGAGAATCATGCCCCATCGGGTTTCAAACGGCTGATTTTTGAGAAATAGAGTATCAGATTTTTCTTCCAAGGTACCTCTTGAGCACACTTGAGCCTCCCAGGAATTCCATTCTCTGGCCACCATAATAAGATGGCTAGCCATTTAACTGACAGAGGCTAGAGGAGAAACACTGATTCAGATCTTAGAAAGGAATGGTTTGCTTTATCTTTTTCCTCACCCAAGATGAAGAAAGTAAGATCCATGGCATTAAAAAGATTTTCTGTTGTTCTCATGTGCCTTTGAGTTAACTGTGACTCATAGAGTCCCTATGAGATACAGATTTGAACCCTCACCATCTCTGACACATTTGAGTCCAGAGCTAGGGTCACTGTGTCAGTCCATCTTGGCAAAGGTCTTCCTCTCTTATGCTGACCCTCTACCTTTCCAAGCATGAGGCCTTTCTGTATATGAGATGAAGTTTCACCAGCCTTGCTTTCAAGAATCACTCTGACTATACTTTCTCCAAGCCAGATCAGTTTATTCTCTTGGCACTCCGTGGGATATTCAGTACTTTTCTCTAACACCACAACTCCAAGGCACTGTTTCTTCATTTGTCATCTTCAGTCATTATTCCACTTTCAGATACATAGCAACCAACCAAGAGGCCATGGTTTGGACCAGGTGCACTTTAGTCTTTAAGCTGGAAAACCCAGAACAAAAACCTGTGTTCTAATTACTAGGTCAGAGAAGAGATCTCTTTTCAACATAAAATTCTTCTCCTGAAGAACAGCTCGTTGTGTGTCTTTGCTCCTTTGCCAGGTTTTGTGGTTATGGAGCTCAGATACAAATGATAGGTATAATCTTCTCCTTATCTAGCATTTGGGCTTGATGGACGGGATCTTTAGCTGCACACTAATTTTTTCCAGGATCTTGTTAGGCCTCAGGGAGCAGCAAGCTTCCTCTTAGATGCAGCTCTCTGCTTCTTGTTTTAGGAAGTTATAGTTTCTAATCAAATTCTTAATCTGGAAGTCCAGTAGAGTTTATAAAGCACTTCAAGGACCCCTGAGCCTTTGAGGTGAATTGTGAAATTCATAAATGTATTCATTATTTTCTTGGGAGAAGGACTATGACCTTTTTTTTTTTATTAGGTTGTTTATTTTTCATTTCAATGAACATCTACAGAGATTTTGGGATTCCATTCATTCATTGTTGCACCCTTCTCCC